TTTTTTTTTTTTTTTTTTTTAAGGTCTGCCTGGTTTCTCCAGGCTGCACGGCCTCCTCTCCCCCGACAGTCGCCTGGCTCCAGAGAACTTTCCCTGGCATCTCCTGAAGCCCAGGCTGCCACGGGAGTGAGGTGTGAACGGGCGGAAAGCAGAAAATGATTTTTCTCTAAGGTTCCAGAGTCCAACAAGTGCCTGGGGCGGTTGTTAAGGACTTAGAACTCTTTCCTCCTGCCAACAAAAGGGGCATTTGCTAAAGTGTTAACTTAATGATTTTCTTTCTTGTTGCCACCGGTCCAACGGTCTCTGCGCCGGGCCCCGCAGGCCTCCGGCCTCCGGGAAGCAAGACAGCTGCTGCCCGGCGGCCGAGGCCCGGCGGTGAGGCCAGGGTGGAGCGAGCTGGGGTGCTAACCGCCGGGCGAGCGACGGCAGAGACGCGGCGCCGAGGCTCCGAAGGCCCCAGAGATGGGAACCTGCCCTGGGGTTCAGGGGCGTCGGGGCGGGCGCGCGCCTCGGGCCGGGACCGCGCGGCGCAGGTGGGGGCGGGAGGGAGAGGGAAGGCGCGGGCGGCCGGGCGGCCGGGGTGGGGGTCGGTAACGAACAGGCTCAGCCCGGGTAATTACAACCCTTCCGCAGCACCTGCCTATAGAGCCACCAGTGACCCGTCAAAAAGAGTAGCATGGGAATTCGGACGGCGACAAAGGCCGGCGGGGGAGGCGCGCGGCGCTGCGGCCACCGCCAGGGCGCTCCCTCTCCCTCAGGGCGGGAGCGGAGGTGACGCTGGGAGGAGGGAGGGCTGGAGAGCCGGCGAGGCCCCCAGCGGGTCTGGTCCTCCACCCCCTCGGGTCTGTCACTGCGCCCGAAGGAACTCAAGGCCGCCCAGAAGCCGGGGACGCAAGCTCTGCTACCCTTCGCTCCGTCTGCAAGCGGCGAACTCGGTCTGGGTAATTCGCAGCCATCCTCCTCTGCACAACGCACACCCTCTGGCCTTGCTAGGGTCCAAGTTTGGAGCCCTAATTGTCGCCCCAGCTAGCTTCCTCTTTTCTGTGCCACTTTTGATGTTAAGATGAGCACAAGAAAAATGTAGTGATGGAGTGATAGGGTTTCTTTTCTCAGCTTCTCATCGGGACAGGAGACCACAGACACACACCTTTGGAGGGCCCCGGCGGGGGTGGACAGAGAATCAGCGGGGGATAAGGGCTGGCTATTGGACGGTCGCCTCCCCGGGTCGCTGTGGCTGCAGATCCGCCCTTCTTCTGCCTAACCCTTGGAACTGGGGTTCCCGGGCAGATTAGAAACAGGCCACCAGTCTGACGTGGGGCACAGGAGGAAGGGACGCGAAAATGTCAGGGTATAGCGGGTCTGCGCCTCAGACTGCGCCACCTGGTCACGTTAAGTTGACTTGGGGTCACGAGACAAGCTAGTTGACCTCGCTGCAAAGGTCCCTTCATTTAGCAAGCCGAGCGAGCTCCAACCGGAGCTGAGCGGGAGCTTCCTGAGGTTAGAAAACCGTTCTTAACTTCCCTCGCCAGGGGGTCCCCTGGGGGCTTTTTGTGTGTCATAATTGCCAAAAGATATATGGCAGCTTCGATTACTGTAATTACCATCAGAGACTGTTGAAAGAAGTTAGTCTGGGCTGCAGGGGTGACTGGCCAGGGTCTTGTTACCACCCAGGCGGGGCTCCCTGGTGACATGGTTCTCCTCTTCAGCCGCTCCAAGCCGAGCGAGGCGGGGGCGCAGCCCTCGCGCCCAGGCTCAGCCTGACCTGGCCCGCTGCGCGCTCACCTCTTCCGCCCCGGGCTGCACGGCTCATGTGCCGCCAGCGGTCTGACAGGGCCTGGATGCAGCGGCGCCGCGGGCAGGGGCTGCTGTCTTGCGAGAGGAAGAAACCTCAGCAGCGGCGTCCCGACCTACACCGGTGCTGGAGACTCCCCAGGCCGAATCCGGCTGTTAGCAAGTTGGAAAGCTCCAAAGTTTCCCCAATATGCCCACTCCACCTTTCTCTCTAAAAGTCCGGTGAGTCCTCCGGCTTCTTGGCCTACGGCGGGAGGGCGCGACTCCGGGCGAGCCCAGCTTCGCACCCAACCCTTCCCTTAACTCCGAGGCCCCGTTTACATCCCAAGTGGACGAAAGAACCTGAGGGTCCTTACTTCCAGGGAAGGCGGCGAGGGCCTGTCCCAGTCGGAGCAAGGCCCTCCGACGCCCTCGGCTGTCGCTTTCTGCAACCGAGACTTGGAATGCAACAGGGAGGGCTTCCTTGGGCGCCTCCTGGGAAGGATATTCACACCCCCGAACACGGGCAACAAAAAGCGAGCCCGTCAGGCTTCCCAAAGCTTGAAAGGCGAGGGCCGCAGTAGGCCTAAGGCTAACCTGAAACTCAAGTGTCTGCTAGGAATTCGGGCCGTGGTTGACCGTCCTTCTCTCCTCCCTCTGCCCTAGCTGTACGTTTCTATCTTTATTTTTGTTCATGTTCTTTTTTCTATAATCTTGAAAATGGCAGCACCAAAACCAAAACAAATGAACAAAATGAAAACACAACCAACCTCTTTGCCCGAACAATCGCATCTCATGTAGGTGGGATTTCATATCAGTCCTCAAAAGTATCTCGGACTCTCAACTTTCAAAGACCCAGGACAATGAGGGCAAGGGTGGTGGACTACAGAGATCACCGCTCCAAGGGCGGCGGGAGAACTCTGGCAAGGGGGCTCACCGGCAGCGATTGCCCCTGGGATTGGACCCAGGGACCTGTAACCCTGGGCAGCCCAAAGACCGGAACTGAAATGGCCTGGGAGACCAGAGCCCCGCGGCAGCGTGCGCCCCGCTCCGGCTCGGGCCTGCACAGTCCCGGGTTCCCCAGGCACCTTGCACGCCAATGCCCTGGAGCACACCCTCAGTCTTGCACTCCAGCGTCTAGGGGTGGGGTTAGAGGTCAGCCGCGGGTAGGCGTTGTGAAGGAGAGCTACTGGCTAAGGAAGTTTGAGGAAGGGGAGAAGCGCGCGAAGAGAGCAGGCCGCGCACTCTCGCCTCTGCGGAGCTCCTGCTCGAAAAGTATTCGGGATTAGGGATTTGGTCCGCTCTTTGCTAGAGCGGTTCGCCATACTTTAAATTCCCCAGTTATGACCTCCGCGGGTTTAGGATTAAAGAAAATGTGACTTTTAAATTGTTTCTACTTCCCAGTTTGCAGGATTATTGAAAATAGCTAGAAACGGGGTGCAAAACATTCCATACAAAATCCGCTTTGCGCAGAGTTGCTTTTGCGCGCTGGAGCTCGGAGTTTTGAGCGAGTGTGTTATTGTGCTGCGGCCTGGAGCTGCGGTCCAGTTTCCGCCCTTGTTGCACCCCCACCCGGCCAGCTGGCAGATAAGTGGGGGCAACTCGCCGGACAGATGACCTGCGCCGGTCGCAATGTTCCAGCGCACCAGAGAGGGGAAATTCAAGCAATTCAGAGGCAACGAAATTTCACTCCCCTCCCCACGAAACGCTCTGACTGACCCACGGTCTGCAAGTTGCTGGGCCAAAGCTCACACTCCCCCTGGGCTCCCTCTCCCTGTCTCGGAGTCTTAGCGCCAGGGGCAGGATCTCCCGGGCCTCCCACCCTCCCGCTCTGGCTGCGCGTCTGGGGCCCGCCGAGGCCGGAGAGGTACCCACTTGTTGATCCTGCCGGCTTGCTCATGCTGGCGGTCCCGGGGCGGAGCGGTTGGTGGGCGCCGCCTGCGTCCCGACCCGCAGCGCCCGCCTCGCCGGCCGGCGCCGCCACTCTCCAGCCACCCTCCAGCCTGTGAGGTTCCAGGGCCGGACAGGTGGATGTAGCTCGCGCGCTGCGCTGTTTCCCCGGCGCTCAGAATTCGTTCCACAGTGGAAATGTAAGCATCCTTGAGTTTCTTCCCCGCTCTTGCAAAACTACAGCTGCTGGGAATGTTGATATGGACACACGCATGGACAGACAGATGGAGAGACCGACTGGCCGACTGAGGGAGAAGGGAAAAGGACGGCACGAGAGGGGAATTGAAGGACAGAGATGGAGACACAAAAATGATCTTCCTACGGAGCGCAAGGGTCAAAATCTCTCGCTCTCCCCATTCCTGTGTCTGTCTTCAATCTCTCCCTTCCAGAGCCATGCAGATCTCCGCAGACCGCCGGTCTCGTAAGGAAAGAAGGAAGCTGCACGACCACAGTCTCTGAGGCCCAAGGGCTCCGTGCTGCCCTGAGCGGAGTTCGGAGTGGGACAACTAGATGGCCGGAAAGTGTTCTGAGGGAGGAGGCGGCGAGGTCCCGGTTTCCGGGGAGAACCGCGCACCCAGCGGTAAAGGGTCCCCGAAGTTCATTACCCTGTGACTTTGTGCCTGTGTCTGCAGGCTGGGTCCCTTGTAATATCCCCAGAAGCGCTCTGACAGGCAGCCGCTGGGAGGGGAATAGGGCGTCCCTGGCCCACTTAGCTTTTCCCCCAACTCCTGGCGGGGTCTGACGTCAGCCATGTGCTGGGAGGGGATGGGAAGAGGGAGGGGGTTAAATGCTAATGATATTAATGAACCTCCAAGCGGCTCCGAGAGAAAATGCAGGCGCTCTCGGAGCTGACGACTTAGTACGAATAAGGGAGTGTGACTTTGGGCGTGTGTGATGGTGAGGACAGTGCTGCTCTTGTAATAAAAATGAATTATTGTATTTCATGGCAAGAAGGGAGGGGAGGGGAGAATGGGCTTTTCTCAAAATGCTTTCCCCCTTCTCTCCAGAGAGCCAGACAGATTCGTGGAAGAAACTGGGTGGCTGTGTGTTTGTGTGTGATTGAACGCACCGGACACAGCCATGTGAGTTGATTGATTGTTGGTCCCGTGCCCCTTCTGTTGGGTAAAACTTGGATCTAGCCCGAGGTGAGTAATGATTAATTTTGAGACTATCTACGGAAAGTTGTAACTGAGGACTTGGGGCCTGGGATGGGGGTTGCCGGAGGCGGGGCGTTCCTGCGGCCTGGGCGAGGTCCGCTCGGGCGCAAGCCGCCGAGAGGGAGCTGCCCGCTTCCCAAAGCAAAGCCCGCCTAAGTGGAGCGGGGCGAAGCTTCTGTGGCCTCCATTACCTGCACTGGAGCGGTGGGAGGACAGAGCTTCCCTCCCGTGGCTCGTCTGCAGTGGGCTTCGCTGGTACCACACACAACGGGCCTGAGGGATTCTGGAGACCAACCCGCTCCCCCCCTTCCGCCCTCTCAAGATTCCTATGGTCTCTCGCGGCAGGATCCCTGCCCCTCTCCGGGAGAGCGCACGCCGAGGGAGCGTTTATCCTCGGATCGCTCAGAGATCCTTATTTAAGCTCTCGCAGCAGCTGGAACTTGTAGAACAAGAGCTTGTCAGCCTCTCCTTAGGGCGTGGGCCGGGTCAGGGATCACATCTCCGGCTCTCCCGCTCTCCCGCCCTCCTTGGCACGTTCAGGGGAGGGAGCTCAGGTGGGCGCTCCGCAATCCTGCCGGCCTACCTCCCGGCCCCGCTCTTTCTCTAGACTCGCGAAAACCTCGGGCTTTCGACTTCAGTGTACAGGCGTTCAAGTGAGCGCTTGCTTTCCCCAGAGCCCTCCTGGGGCGCAGCAGCTACTCAGCTGGCGTCCGAGGGCGAGCCGGCCGCGCGCGCCTAGGACCGCAGCACGTGACCGCAACTTTGCGCAGCTGCCTGGGCTCGGCCTGGGGCTGGGTCTGCGCACCGCACAGCGGCGGGAGCCCTAGTCCTGGGTATTGAGGCGCAGAAACTGGGGCCCAGAGGCGGGAAACGCCTGGTCCCCAGGAAGGGAACGACTGTGTTCCAAGTTATCCTGTCTCCCAATTTTTGGGATTGGGACGCAATTAAGGAATTTTGGGGCCAGGCCGTTAGCCTGAAAGTTTTTTCAGGTGATGGGAAGAGAATTCAACTTTTTTGACAGCCTAGAGGGACAGACGCTGCGCATCGAGCCGTTCCAAGCCGTAACGTAACTCGAACTCAGCGCGCAAAGAGAAGGGATTTCTGGATGTTGTTTGAGAATACAGTTGCGTTGCCAGAGTTTGTTTTGGAGCCTCGAGTTCCTCCACCACCACCACGGCCGAAAATGGGGACCGGAAGGGGGGCGCTTGATTAAATACAAGGAATTTCAAGAGTCTCAGCCGAAATTGGGGACTAGACCTGGGCCTGTTTCCCAAGGAAGAGTTTAAGGAGTCTGTGGCAAGGCGAGGCTTGGAGGTAGGAGATCGAAGGCTCTTCTGGGATCCAAACTACCTATGCTCCCTGCTCCCCAACATTCCTGACGCACTGGCTCACTTCTAGGCACTAAAACTTCTGGACAATTTCCCTGAGAGTCATCAAATTGTCTCAAAATCAAAATGGGAATGTCTCCTCTTTCGCTTGTCACTACTTCTAATTCAGAGGAAGTCCACTGAGCAGACACACACACACACACACACACACACACACCATCCAGTTCTGCCTAGAGGCACAGCGCGCGCGCGCACATACATACGCCTCTTGTGCGTCCTGTGTTCTGCACGCCCGGCTGTAATTATCCGCGCGCTTTGCATAAATCACAATGCAGTTCTGAAATCATCTTGATGACTTTCTGGCATGATTGATTCGATGGCAACAGCAGCAACAAGCCGGTAGGCGGGAGGGGCTGGAGCCGGGTCTCTCACCAGATCCGGGAGAACGTGGAGCCCAAGTGCCTGCAAAGCTGCTGGAGGCCACAGGGGCCTTAGACTTGAGGTGTAGAAACTTAGGACGTTTGTGGGCGCAGCTCAGAGACAAAGCATCTCCAGGGCAAGGACAGTGAGTTTTTTCATCTTCCTACCCACGGCTCCCTAGCACGCTGCCTGGGTCTCAATAGGTGGTGAATAAATGTTGGACAAACGAGTGAAGGAGCAAAGTCGCCTGCAGATTTCCTGAGAGGCCTCTGAAACCAAAACCAAACTCACTGCAGTCCCCTGGATTCTGACTCACAGCGATGCCCAATGGGTTTCTAAGGCGGTAAATCTTTACTAAAGCGGACTGCCTCATCTTTCTTTTGCAGAGGTTGGTGGCTCAAACCGCCAACTGTTTGGTTAGCAGCCAAATGCCTTAACTACTACACCACCAGAGCTCCTTGAAAGCCCACTGAAGGCACAGCTAAATACTGAAGAGTCAATACGTGGGGAATGGGCCAAGTCTGAGATTATGTGGTTCAAGCTCTACCCCAAGTAGCTCTGTACCAAGTGACTAGACTGTTCTAGTTTCTGGATTGTTATCTATAAAACAACTAGAATCCTTTTTTACAATTAACTTTTAAAGATTTCTTTTTCTGTGAGTTACTAAGGGAAATGGTTAATAAAGAGCAAATGCTCCCTACCTCAGAGATACCTTTTAACAGAGACAAGACTTTAAGCTACAAGGATGAGTTTATAGCATTGACTGTCAGGGAAGGAGATGGAAGGGCAGACACTCCCTAGAAGTTCTAAAGCTCTTCTGAACATGTCCAAACATAGCCACTAACTTCCTGTCTAGCCTCTTGTATTGAGCTCTCAACCAAAACCAAAGCCAAAAATTTAGGGAAGGTATCTTTTCTCACAGGACGTTTATATTTTTGGTCCAGGAGATAAGAAATAAAACCATGAGCAGGAGCATAGGATCAAGGGGCCTCTCTGTGCATCAATTCGTCCATCCATCAAATACTTAACACCTACCATGTGCGAGGCCCTGGCAATAGAGGAGATTAATGACATGGCCCTGTCTCAAGCAGTCTGAAAGTGAGGAGCACTCTGAAAGTGAGGTTACCAGGAAACTGAAAAAATACACAAGAGACCCTAAATCAGTGTGGAGTGCGGTGAAGGTGTCAGGGAATGACCTGGAAAGCTGGCCTGCTGTTAGGGGAATCTTCTACCTCTGAGAAGTTCTGGGTATTACAGGTCAGTGTCCTGCTACTGTCACTTCCTGGCAGTCAAAGAAGGGAAGGAGAACCCTGTTAGCTAGGCTGTATGAGAAAGATAGGAGTGGAGCAAATCTTTCTAGTGTCAGACTGGCTGGCTTTGATGACTCCTAGCTCTGCCATTTACTACTGTCTCCAAAGAAGGTGTCATTTTCTCCACTGAACTGGCTCCCTCTCCTTCCTTAACTCTTCTGAATTAAATCACCAAAGGAGAAAGGAAGGGGCCTCCTTACCTCTAAGCAGAATTGATGAAGTTTGTGTGGAACAGAGATGCTTAACCAGATGGTTAACTCCCTCTCAGAGGCTATTCTATCTCTAGAGGTTCATTCCTTTGAGATGGCTTTACCTCACTGACATGCAGAGTTTAGCCATACCCAGACCCGAGAGACCCTCAGGCTGGGGAATCCTCCCAAATGTGCTTCACTGAGATTTGATGTGCAGTCTCCAAAAGACATTCAGACATGAGTGTCGTTATTGTTTGTTTACATGAAAGATAGAGTTGATTTTCATTTGCTTTCAAGTCAGTTCAAGTGATGGTTGTTGCTTGCCCAATGGATGTGAGTGATGGAACACAGTATCTAGTGCACATGGAACAGTGTTGTCAGGCTTGTTCCTGATTCTGCTGTGGTTTCTTTACAAGTTGTTTGGCTCCTATCTAATTCCACTCAGAAAAGAAACACTGGAACAATCCAGAAAAGACATCCAGGTGCTCCAGAACCCAATGGGCACTGAGTTGTGGAGTTTTTTCTTGACACTTTCCAGGAATATGCTGGTTAAGATCTGTCTGTCACTCCCCCACCAGAATAGATGACTAATGCCAACAGCAGCAGCAACAAGACAATGCTCTGTTGAGAACCTTCTTTTGTTTTTTAAACAAATCATCTCTTTGCATTCATCCATACCCTCATTTTTTTTTTTTTTTTTTTTTTTGGCCACACCAATTTTTTTATTTTGTTTTAGGATCAGGCTGAGGCTTGAAAGCTTTAGA